GGTTCTTAAATTCGGCATACTGGTCTTTGTCGACTCGTTATATACCCCCAAGTGAGCTCGAAATTAAAGACAGTATAAAGATAGAGCCTGTCACATATCTTTTATACTCCCACTCCCACAAGAACCTCGGTTAGGGGCCATCAAGTCAAATGCTCTCGCCATAAACATTTACTGTAAACCAAGTATTATACGCGTGCGATAAATATCCGCGAGTTCCGCAAGTAACCTCTGCTCGCGGATATTTATCGTCGCGAACCAGTTGTTCATTTTCCCATGTTACGATTAGAGTTATTTGCCCTTTTTTGAATACCGATCCCGACGGTTCAATAAGTAATCTTTTGTGTTCTAAAAGCAGTTGAAATTTAATTGCAAACATTCAGAAAAAAAAATATATAAACGAATGGCAAATCTAAAACTATTTGTCTAAAAATGATTCAAATGTCAATAATTTTTTCAGCTTGTGTTATCATTGTTCATTATTGTCACAGACGAGTTAGAGATAGCCTGGTTAATTACGACTAATTATAGCCCAGTCCTGCGCCGTCCCAACCATTTATAATAATTGCCCTATGGCTATGTAGATCTTGTAAAGTGTCAATTATCCAATTAGCATGACGAACTTTTACACTTGAGAGTTTGAAATAAACTTAATTTAATCTCCTCGATTTTTTTTTACCCCGATTTTCATTCGAGCGTCGTGAATAATGCGTAAGAAGTGTACTCATAGTAACATTTTACCTACTTCAGGTGCGGATATAAGATTTTAAATGGACGCAATGCACACAGAATGTCTTGAATGATAATGCGTAAGCAGTAATCACGGTAGCATTTTACGTAGTTTATGGGCGGATATAAAATTTCAATTGGATACAAAAAATACTTGTGGAAATAAAAAAAAATATGATCCCTTGTTCGCGGAAATAAATCGTCGCGGATTAATTCTCTAGCGGTCAGTCGCGAATAAAAAATGACGCGTATAATAATTGGTTTACAGTAATATGCAGAGGTAGTGGTTTTACTAACTATAAAGCCAACTAAAAGTAAAAAATATATAATGACAAGCGATGACTTCAGTTTTTAGCTCACCTCGACGAAATCACCTATGTGAAGTGAGCCTATGCTATACAGCCGGCGTTAGCGTCGGCGTTCAAGGTTAAAGTTTTGGGAGCAAGTTCATTCCCAAGTAACAAAAAGCCCAACCTGAACCAAACTTGCATGGATGATGCATCTAGGGATGTACACTACCAAATTTGCCTCTGATGCTAGATATGACCTACATTATATCATGCAGATGAGTGACTGGGTTAAAGTTTTTGGATAAGGTCCATTCCAGGCACGTAGCATCGTTTTTGAAAGTGGGGGGCCAACCTGAGAACATTTTTTTTAACTTACCTGAAAAAGTTGACAAGCAAAAAAAAAAAAAAGACCAAAACTTGCCCAAACTCGAAAATCCTTTTTCGTGGGGGGGGGGGGGGGGGGGGCAACTTTTTCAAAGCCAACTTACTATCACTTCCAATTTTTTCATTAAAATCCTTGCTATCACTATACCATGGTTATAAGTGGGGGGCCGACCATCCTATCAATGAACATTTACTATAGTAAAGGTTAGGTTGGGGAAAAAAGTGGGGGGGGGGGGGCAGGCCCCCCAAGCCCCCCGGATACTACGTCTCTGCATTCCCAGGTAACTATAAGCCCTACCCGGACCAAACTTGCATTGATGATGCATCTAGGGAAGGACACTACCAGGCTTGCTTCGGATGCTGGATCTGACCTACATTTTTCAGATGAGTGACCAGGTGAAAGGTTTTTTGGCATTCCGAATAAATTGAAGATTTTATGAGGGCATATTGCCCGAAATGAAATATTGATTATATGAAGAAAACTCATAAGATATAACATTGCAATGCCTTCAAATTTAGCTCAAAAATCAGCTGTTTAAAGTGACCACCCCTATGAAAGTTTTTAGACTCGTCCATTTACAGGTGAATGACACACCTGAGTGACCACTAAACAATGCTTTCAATTTGCAATTGTGATTTATAACAACACAATATTACTTATTTCAATCCTTTAATAATTTTAATACTGATATAACATTTTTTCCAGGACATTTCTGTGCAGCTCTCTGTCTCACAGGGACTCTTCACTCTGAAATATATTAGAATTAGAATTATAAATCAATGTAACTCAGTAAAAGAAAATTGCATGAATTAAAGTCAAAATTTTTTGTTTGTTTGTTTGTATTATAAAAAATCTGATTATGGGTGGGTTGTGGAGGGATTGCAATGTTATATCTTATGAGTTTTCTTCATATAATCAATATTTCATTTCGGGCAATATGCCCTCATAAAATCTTCAATTATATTTCAGAAAACATCATAAGATATAACATTGCAGGTTCAAAGCTCAAACTAACCTAAAGTCAAAACTGCTTTGGAAAATCCATCTGATTTATCTAAGCATGTAGACCTACAATAAAATTTATAAAAGGTTCCTGCATGTGACCAGTCTGCCATTTCTAATACCTCATTTACAGATGTACCTTTTTTAAAGGCCTTACTGGTTGATGCACTACGAGCTGAATGAGGCTTAAATTTAGCAGTATCAATACCTGCCATGGCCATAACATCCCTTATCCAATTTGAAACTGTATTGGCTGTTAAACCTTTATGTGGCTTAATAACCGACCGTAATATTGGATCACCTGAATGTTCATTAAGAGTCCGAAATGTCTTTGTTCTGTGTAAATACTCAAGTAAACATTCAACTACACACAGTTTTTCATGATCTGGAAAACGTGCATAAAACACTTCTTTTGAACTGCAATCTCTTTGCGTCTTTGACAACCCTGGCAAAAGAAATTTAACACCTGATGGTATAACTTGCATGAAACCCTTATCTAATCTTGCTATTTCTGAAACTCTTTTTGGGGCAGCAATAGCTAAAAGCATAGCCAACTTTTTTGACAAGAGTTTTAGAGAGAGTTCTTCATTACTTGGGAGTGAAATAAAATAATTCAAAACCTTATCTACATCCCATGTCTCTTTATATCTTGGTAAGGGGGGATTTCCTCTTAAAATACCTCTCATTAGAAGTTTTACCATGGAATGCTGACCAATGGGCAAATTATTGACATGAGGCATCACAGAGGAAAGAGCAGATCTGTGAACATTAATTGTTCTATACTGAAACCCCTCATAATACAAATAGCTTAAAAAATCTAATACAAAGCTTATAGGGGCTGAAAATGGATCAACCTCCCTTCTGACACACCAGCTAACCCACTTTTTCCAGGCTGAATTGTAAGAAGATGTTGTGCCCTTTCCCCATGAGTTACAGATGAGATCTTCAGTCTCTTGCGATAAGTGCATTGTTTGCATGGATCTCCTGAGACAACCCATCCGACTAACTGGAGTGAGTTGTTCCTCACTAGTGGGTGAGGTTCTCCCTTGTCTGACATTAGGAGATTGGGAATTATTGGGAGGAGAATGGGATCCTGAATGCACATCTTCAGAATTGTTGCATACCATGGTTGGGCTGACCATGCTGGGGTTACAAGGAGAATCGTTGCTTTTTCCCTCTGAATCTTGCTCAGACATTGAGAAATGAGACAAAACGGGGGAAATGCATACCCCCTTATTCCCACCCAGGGATGCAACAGTGCATTGTGTGCCATTGCTTCTGGATCTGGCATCCAACTGATGAACTTGTCTAGTTTGGCATTGGTTCTGTCTGCAAACAGATCTACTTTGCATTCTATTGTTCTGTTCATTAGAATTTGAAATACGTATGGATCTAACCCCCAACTGCTTGAGTCCTTGTGATGTCTGGACTCCCAGTCTGCTATGACATTTTCCTTTCCCGGAATGAATTCTGCTCTCATTGAGATACTCTTTTTCAGACACCATTCCCAGAGATCTAATGCTAACTGATTGCACGCCTTGGATACTGTTCCACCCATTTTGTTGATGTAAGTCATCGCTGTTTTGTTGTCTGTTTGAATCAGAACAACAATATTTGTTTCTTGTTTCAGAAATGCCTTTACTGCATGCGTTATTGCTAAAAGCTCTAGAGCATTTATGTGATAATGAATCTCGCTTTGTAACCATGCACCCCCTATTCTTACATTTTTGCAAGTTGCCCCCCAACCTAGATTGCTTGCATCTGTCTGTATAACTACTGATGGCTGATTCATTACAATACTCTTCCCATTTGTGTCGTTTAAATGGTGAATCCACCAGAGTAGATCTCTCTGGGCTTCTAGAGTTAAGAAGACTTGAGCATTGTAATCTTGATATTGACTGAAAATTTGGTTCTTTGCCATTTGTAGATGACGATAATGTAATGGGGCTGGGTACACTGCTTGAATGCTTGCTGTGAGATTTCCTATCACTTCTGACAATTTCCTTACTGAAACAGGATTTGAACTGAAAACCTCTTGACAAATTGTTCTTATCTTCTTTGTCTTCTCTAATGGTAAGGAGAGTGTCATTATACTGGAGTCTATCTTGAATCCCAGATATTCTAGAACTTGGGAAGGGACTAAATTTGATTTCTTGAAATTTATCAGAAACCCTAAACTTTCTAGCAAATTGACTGCTCTCTCGCCATCTATCAATGCCCCCTCCTTGGTCTGATTCATGATCAGAATATCGTCCAGGAAAATCACTAATCTCACCCCTAACCTTCGAAGGTAACTCATGGGAACTTTCATTAATTTGGTGAAAACCCAAGGGGCTACTGTTATCCCAAATGGAAGACAAAGGAATTGATACACTTTCCCCTCCCAAATAAATCTGAGATATTTTTGATCTTCTTTTATAATGGGAATTGTGAAATAAGCATCTTTCAGGTCTATTTTTATTAGCCAGTCCCCTTTTTGAATCATATCTCGTACTAAATTGATTCCCTCCATTTTGAAATGTCTGTATATCATGTAATCATTTAATTCTTTCAGGTTTATTACAGGTCTTTGCCCCCTCCCTTTTTCTCTACAAGAAATATGGGGCTTATGAACCCGTCCAATGTGTCTTCCACTTGTAAAATTGCGCTCTTTTCTAACATGTTGAGAATTTCTTGGTTTACTAATGCATTCTTTTCCTTGGAAAATCCCTTGAAATGAGGAAGATTCACTTGAAAAGGGGGATTTTGAGAGAATTCTAGTTTTAAGCCTAGCACTGTTTATAGAACCCAGCAATCTTTTGACAGATTTTCCCAGTTTTGATGGAAATATTTCAACCTCCCCCCCCACAGGGATATTCTTGAGATTTTCTGTCAAAACCGGAAATTTTAATTCTGAAGTGATTGGCCTTACCTTCATTTCTACTGATTTTCTGTCTTTCTGGAAAGAGGAAACTTTGCTGAACCTCTGCCTCTCTGGCTCTGTTGTCCTCTGTAATTGTGGCCCCCAAACTGGTATCTGTTGTTTGAGGGCCCTGTCCGAAAAAACTGCTGGGGTCGACCTGCACCATTTCTGAAAGAATTCCTTCTCTCGTTATTGTTATCATAGAAATAAGAGTTCTTATTGTCAGACTTGAACCGTTTTCTTTGTGGAAGAAGATCTGAAATCTCTCTATTATCTTTACTGTCTTTAGCTAACAGCTTCCTAAATGTGTTTCCAAACAGTTTATCTTTTGAATTTCTTAATGCTTTCCTTCCAGAACTGTCCTCAATTAGGTCAACACACTCTGGTACAAGTTTGCTTAATAAAGTCTTGCGTCTATCGGTGAGATAAACATAATGAGCGTTTCCAATCAACACTAATGCTCTCTGTACAATATTTATAACATCATTGGGGTCTATGCCTTTATTAGCTTTCTGACCTTTTCAGCTTCATGCCAAAGTATGGCTAATGGACCAGTAGCATCAAGAATGCGATTTTGTGTATTTATTATAATTTTCTCTTTTTTGTTGGACATGGCCTGATTGAATCTTTTCCTAGAAAGTTTTTTAATGAATCTGTCAGTTTCTTTTGATTTTAATCTCTTTGTGTTTGGTGTTTTACAGTTCTTTGTTATTTCTTGTCGAGTAGCTTTAGTAATGCCATTGTTAGCATACTTCTCAATGTATTTCGTTATTTTCTTTGGTAATTTCTCACCTCCCTTCATCTTCAAAACATGTGAAGGATTGAATATATCTGAATCTGAATCTGACTCGGAATCATTTGAACTACTGGTGTCATCTGAACTTGATTCTTCTGACTCGCTACCGCTCTCCTTCTCACGCTTTCTCTTTCTACTTTCACTTTTGGATGCATTAACTCGTTCGTTTCTCCATTCTCTTCCCGAACCCTCATCAGATCGAGGTTCTTCATTAGTGCCCTGAATCGGCGTACCAGCATTATTAGTGCCCCGTATTGGCGTATTTCTTGTGCCCCGTATTGGCGTATCTCTTGTGCCCCTTATTGGCGTGTTTTTGTGTTTATTGCCCTGAATTGGCGTTTGCTCATAATCACTTTCTGCATCGTCGGAAATTTGCTCGTTTTCCGAAACACAAACCTGCAGTCTATCAGAAGACGGTGTTCTTCTCCCTAAGGCATCTGGGGAGAAAAGCTGACTTTGCGCCATTCTAAATGTCTGCAATGCCTATAAAAACATGCGAAACCTGGAGCGATAAACTTACGTCCACTCACTTACGGAGCTAAAATTGAAAGCATTGTTTAGTGGTCACTCAGGTGTGTCATTCACCTGTAAATGGACGAGTCTAAAAACTTTCATAGGGGTGGTCACTTTAAACAGCTGATTTTTGAGCTAAATTTGAAGGCATTGCAATGTTATATCTTATGATGTTTTCTGAAATATAATTATAATCCCTACGTGAAGCAAATTTGCATAGATGATGCATCTAGGAATGGACTTGCTTTGGATGCGGAATCTAACTAGATTTTTCAGAAGAGTAAACAGGTTAAATTTTTTGGAGCAGGTTCGAATTCATTCCAAAGAAAGTCTTACCCGAAAAAAACTTGCATAGATGATGCATCTAGGGGTGGACACTACTAGACTTGCTTTGGATGGTGGATCTGACCAACATTTTCCAGTTGAGTGACCAAGTTAAAGTTTTTTAAGCAGGTCAGTTCCCAAGTAACTATAAGCACAACCATAACAAACTTAGATGATGCATATAGGGATAGACACATCCAAACTTGCTTGTGTGTTGGATCTACTCAGTGACCTGCTTTTTTCCAGTTCGGTGACAAGGTTAAAGTTTTTGACTGGTCCATTCCGAAGAAATTATGAGCCCCTCCTGAAGCTAGACATTTCCAAACTTGCTTGTGTGTTGGATTTACGCAGTAACCTACTTTTTTCAAGTTCAGTGACAAGGTTAAAGTTTTTGACTGGTCCATTCCGAAGAAATTATGAGCCCCTTCTGAAGCAAATTGCATAGATGATGCATCTAGGGATGGGCACTACTAGACTTGCTTCGAATGCTTGATCTGACCTACATTTTTCAGTTGAGTGGCGAGGTTAAACTTTCGGAGCAGGTCCATTCCCAAGTAATAGTAACTAAAAGTCCTACCCAGGCCAAACTTGCATGGATGATGCATCAAAGGATTGACACTACTAGATTTGCTTTGGATGCTGTATCTGGCCTATTTTTCCAGCTGAGTGACCAGGTTAAAGTTTTTGGAGCAGATCCATTTTCAAGAAACTATAAGCCTTACGTGGACCATACTTGCATGGATCATGCATCTAGGGATGGGCACTACCAGACTTGCTTTGGATGCTGTATCTGACTTTACCGGTTATATTTTCCAGATGAATGGCAAAATTAAAGTGTTTATAGAGTTGAAGTTTAAAGAATTTCAACAACCCTTTATAAAATGTCAAAGCATTGAAAATTCTACGGTCGTTATAATGACATTTGCAAAATACATGATTAATTCACAATCTCTCATTGTGTCGTATTTTAACTAACATATTTCACACCATTGCTTTCACACAAAAATTGACAATATTATGCCTATGCCAATCGGGGATGCTCTCTTCTCTTAGGTATCTGATTCCAAATTCTGGAATTTCCAGTGGTCCGTGTTTTATGCCCTGTTCACAAATGGTATTGTTGAAAAGATTATTGAGATCCAATCTGTATGTAAACATGTGTATGCAAAAGAAATTAAAGCTACTTTCCATTACTTTTTAAAAACAAATGTTTACAATTTTTTAAAAGAAAATACATAACTAGTACTTCTTCACAGCTAGCATACATTTTGCATGATCAGTCGATGAGTGTGAACCCCTGAAAATGTTCATATATCATATTTTTGGATTCTCAGGTTTAAAACATATCGTTCTTAGCATTGTGACTCTAGAAACTGAATACTCGTATATAAGCTACTAGTATTCTACAATCCTCGGTCAAACATCTCTTTCTAAACAAAATGTAAAATTTTAGATTTTTTTTTTTCATCAAGAAAACTATTTCCTAAAGATTAATCATTTCCAAAATTCATAACTCGGCGTCGGTAGTCTAGTGGTAAAAGGTGCCGGACTCAAAACCGAAAGGTTGTGAGATCGAATCCTGGCCGCGGCAAGTCAACGTTGTGTCCTTGGGAAAGGCACTTTACACGAATTTCCTCACTCTACCCAAGTGTAAAAGGGGTACCTGGCTATAGACAGTGAAAGATATTGTCAGAATGTTAGTGTTCTAGCGCTGATTACGGCAGCTTGCACTGAGAAAGATTCTGGATTGTTAAGGTCTGCTGGGGTGATAATGATTGTAAAGCGCTTTGAGTAGCATTTATGCTAGAAAGCGCTTTATAAATCCAATCATTATTATTATAACTAAAAGTAACTAAATGCAATTATGCAGATGTTTGTTTATTACAAAAAAATCAAAGTTTTGATAGGAGAGGACAACGGAGCTAGGAAAAACTCTTAAAAAAATGTATTTACACTTTTAAGTTTTTAGACAGGGAAACCATGAAAGAGAACTGAGTGCATTGGCCATGAAAAATAACCAAAGGACATCGGCCATGATAAAGAACCAAGGGACATCAGCCATCATAAAGAACTGAGGACATTAGCCATCATAATGAACTGAGGACATTAGCCATCATAAAGAACTGAGGGACATCAGCCATCATAAAGAACTGAGGACATTAGCCATAATAATAAACTGAGGACATTAGCCATCATAAAGAACTGAGGACATTAGCCATCATAAAGAA